TCGCACCAGTTGTTGCACTGCACATCCAGCTAGCTAGAGGTGGAGGGCAGGAGGGTAGGGGTCGCCCTAGAGGTGGAGGCCAGTCAGGTGGCACTCTGGATATATTCTATGCCTTTCGAGCTAGGCCAGAGGTAGTAGCCTCCGACGCCGTGATCACAAGTATTATTTCTGTCTACCATAGTGATGCTTCGGTACTATTTAATCTAGGGTCTACCCATTCCTAAATCTATTTTCTCTTTTCTTCTTACCTGGATGTATCTTGTGGGTCCTTGGTTATTCCTGTATATGTATCTACGGCGGTGGGTGATTTTATTTTTGTGGATTGGGTTTACCGGTCCTGTGAGGTGACTTTCTGTAGGTATGAGACCAGAGCAGATCTTATTGCTCGATATAATTGACTTCAATGTTATCCTAGCCATGGATTGGTTGTCTCCGTACCATTCCATTCCCGATTGCCATGCCAAGGCTGTTACCTTGGTTATGCTAGAATTGCCTAGGCTGAAGTGGATAGGTTCATCTAGTTGTGAATCAAGTCAGATTATTTCCTTCTTGAAGGCTCGACATATGGTCGAGAAAGGTTGTTTGGCCTATCTGGACTTTGTTCGAGATACTGCTGTGGAGAATCCCACGATAGATTCAGTTCCTATGGTGCGGGAATTTTTCGATGTATTTCCTGCTGATTTACCAGGCATGCCACCGGATTATGATATCGATTTCGGCGTTGATTTGGCACCAGGCACCAAACTTATCTCATTTCTGCCTTATCGTATGGCTCCCGTGTAGTTGAGAGAGCTGAAGGAGTAGCTTCAAGAGTTCCTCGAGAAGGGATTCATCAGGCTGAGTGTGTCACCTTGAGACACACCAGTATTATTTGTGAAGAAGAAGGATGAAAGCATGCAGATGTGCATTGATTACCTCTAACTGAATAAGGTCACCATCAAGAATAAGTATCTGTTGCCACGCATTAATGATTTATTTGATCAGCTTCATGGTGCTAGTATGTTCTCGAAGATCGACTTGAGATCTGGGTATCATCAGCTGAAGATTTGTGCTTCGGATGGATTTCCAGACTAGGTGAGGGCATTACGAGTTTCTAGTGATGTCCTTCAGCTTAACTTATACTCCGACAGTATTTATAGATTTGATGAATTGGGTGTTCAAGCCATATCTTGACTCATTTGTCATTGTCTTCATAGATGACTTATTGATCTACTTGCGTAGCATGGAGGAGCACAAGCAGTATTTGAGGATAGTGCTTCAGACTTTGAGGGAACAAAAGCTATATGCTAAGTTCTCCAAGTGTGAGTTCTTGTTTTAGATTATTTGCTTTCATGGGGCATGTTGTGTCAGGTGGGGGTATTAAGGTGGATCCTAGGAAGATCGAGGTAGTTCAGAGTTGGCCTCGTCCTACCACAACGATCGAGATCAAGAGTTTCATTGGGCTAACAGGTTATTATTGTCGGTCTGTGGAGGGCTTCTCATCTATTGCAGCTCCTTTTCCTAGATTGACCTAGGAGGGTGTTTGGTTCAGGTGGTCCGATGATTGCGAGATGAGTTTTTAAAAGCTCAAGACTGCATTGACTACATCACCGATGTTGGTTTTGCCTTCCGGTTTAGGGATGTACGCTGTGTTTTGCGACGTTTCACATGTTGGATTGAGTTGTGTATTGATCCAGGAGGGGAAATTTATTGCATATGTTTCTCGTCAGTTGAAGCCCCACCAGAAGAATTACCCTGTGCATGATTTGGAGTTGGCTGCGATAGTTTATGCTCTCAAAATTTGGAGGCATTATCTTTATGACGTGTCGTGTGAGGTTTACATTGATCGTCGCAGCTTGCAACATCTGTTTAAGCAGATGGATCTTAATCTGAGGTAGCAAAAGTAGATTGAGTTATTGAAGGATAATGATATCACCATTTTTTATCATCCGGGCAAAGCGAACATTGTCGGGGATGCCTTGAGCAGAAAGGCCGAGAGCATGGGTAGTTTGGCGTTCATTCCAGCAGAGAAGAGGCCATTGGATTTGGACATTCGGTCCTTAGCTAACCGACTTGTGAGGTTGAAAATTTCAGTGAACAATCGAGTTATTGCATGTGTTATGAATCAAAATTCTTTATTCGAGCGGATTAAGGCTCATCAGTATGATGATCCGCACTTGCTGGTCCTTAGAGAGACGTTACTACGAGGTGATGCCAAGGATGTGACTATCAGATATAATGGTGTTCTGCGACTCCATAGTCGCTTATGTGTTCCTAATGTTGATGGCCTGAGGGAGCCGATTCTAGAGGAGACACACAGTTCGCGCTATTCCATTCATTCAGGTGCCACGAAGATGTATCATGACTTGAGGCAACATTACCGGTGGCGGCAGATGAAGAAATACATAGTTGAGTATGTGTCGAGATATTTGAATTGCCAGTAGGTTAAGTACGAGCACCAGAGGCCATGCGGCTTACTTTAGTAAATGGTTATACCATAGTGGAAATGGGAGTGTATCACTATGGATTTTGTAGTTGGTTTACCACGAGCATTAAAGGAATTTTATGTTGTTTGGTTCATTGTCGATAGACTGACCAAGTTTGCGCACTTTATTCTAGTTATTACTACATATACTTCAGAGAGGTTGGCCCTAATAATAACCAAGAGATCGTCCGGTTGCACGACGTGCCTATTTCTATTATTTTAGATCGAGGAACTCAATTCACTTTGTATTTCTCGAGAGCAGTACAAAGTGAGTTAGGTACCCAAGTAGAGCTCAGCACAACCTTTCATTCGCAGACCGACGGGCAGTCGGAGCGGATAGTTAAGATTCTGGAGGTTATGATTAGAGAATGTGTGATTGACTTCAGAGGGTAATGGGATCGATTTTTACCATTGGCCGAGTTTTCTTATAACAACTATATGTCCAGCATCAAGATGGATCCATTTGAGGCCTTGTATGGTCTATGATGTCATTCCCCCATCGGTTGGTTTGAGCCCAACGAGGTTAGGCTATATGGTATTGATTTAGTAAAGGATGCCTTGGATAAGGTAAAGTTGATTCAAGAGCGACTTTGTACAATATAGTCCAGAAAGAAGAGTTACGCGGATTAGAAAGTACGTGATTTGTCATTTATGGTGGGCGAGAAGGTACTTTTGAAAGTCTCACCGATGAAGGGTATCATGAGATTCGGTAGGAGAGGCAAGTCGAGTCCGAGGTTCATTTGTCCGTTTGAGATTTTGGAGCGAGTTGGTGAGGTTGCATACATGCTTGCTTTGCCTCCTAACTTATCGGTAGTTCATTCGGTATTTCACATGTCTATGCTCCGGAGGTGCCATGCTGACAAGTCCCATGTGTTGGATTATAACACAATTTAGATGGATGAGAGCTTGAGTTACAAGGAGGAGCCAGTTGCCATTATTGATAAGCAGGTTCGCACATTGAGATGTAAGGAGATTGCAGTTGTGAAGGCCGAGGAGGACATGCAGAGCAGATATCCACACTTATTCGGCACTTCATATATGATACTAAACTCGTTTGAGGATAAACGTTTGTTTAAGAGGTGGAGAATGTAACGACCCGACCGGTCATTTTGCTTTATAGAACCCCGTTACCCTATTCAAGACTTTCCGTATGTGCTTTTCCTATTTTATAACTTGCGGGGACGGTTATTTTAGTTTTGGAAGGGTTCACATTGAATTCGGAACACTTAGTTCCATAATAGTGGCCTAAGATGACCAAGTTTGACATAAGTCAACAATTTGAGTAAGCGACCTCGGAATTGGATTTGAAGGTTCCAAGAGATTGGTATGGTGATTTTTGACTTGGGAGTATGTTCGGATCGAGTTTCGAGTAGACCGAAAGCGTTTTGGCATTTATTATTCGAAATTGGCATTTGAAGGTTTTAGAGTTTTCTAAGTTTGACTTGGGGTGAACTTTGATGTTATCGGACCCCATTTGGCATTCTGAGCCTGGGAGTAGGTTCGTTTTGTTATGTGTGACTTGTATGTGAAATTTATGTCATTCCAAGTTGTCTAAGTATGATTTGTTGCGTTCAGAGTTAGTTGGGTGAAGTTTGAAGTGTAGAAGTTAATTAGTTTGGTTTGGGGTGCGATTATTGGTTGCGATATTATTTTATTTGTTTCGAGACCTCGAGTAGGTGCGGATTATGTTTATGGACTTGTTGGTATAATTGAACGAGGTCCTGGGTGACTCACGTGAGTTTCGGACTACCCAGAGCATGTTCAAAGTTGGCAGATTTTTGCTGGTACTGGTGTGCTTCGCGATCGCGAAAGAGGTACCATAATTTCGAAGAAGTAATTTGGAGGAGGGGCAGATGTTGCTCTTCGCGAACGCGAAGATGGCTCCGTGAACGCGATGGAGTACCTGGTTCCTCTTCGCGAACGCGGAGGAGCCTAAACGAATACGAAGAAGGAAGTAAGAGGAAAGGACGGGCAGGCTTTGGTCTTCGCAAACGCGGTAGTGGGTCCGCGAACGTGAAGGGTTGGCAGAGGGTGTTCTTCGCGAATGCGACTGGGCCATTGCAAACGCGAAGAAGGAGACTTGGGTAGGCCAGCATTGGCCTTCACGATCATGATGGTGCTTCCGCGATCACGATGAAGGACGCCTGAGTAGATTATAAGTTTCCTTTCGGGACTTAGGCTCATGTGATCATATTTTCTCGTGGTGAGGCGAAAGGACATGAGAAACTATTATATATAAGTTGAGCAGAAAGCAGTGAGTATGCAGATTCGGCTTTTGTCACTTTGCATCCGGCACTAAGCAAACGTAAAGCTCACAAAATCAGCCAAATCTTCTTTAAGAAACCATGACGGTCTTCCAAAAAGAGAGAGGAAAAGTAGAAAACCCCATTTAGAATTCACCTCAGATTCTCCAAACAAAACATCCCAACAAAGTGTCATATCCCCCTCAGTATCATGCACTCAAAGCAAAGTATCAATCAAGATTTACAAACAAAAATTAGTACTAGTATCTTCCTATACAGAGTCATTCTTTTCCTGTCATAACAAAAGTTTTCCCTCATATCTCTTTCTTCTGATCCATGGCTTATCTACTCATAGCTTTTGTTTCCTTGGTCTTTCAGTGTTTAGTCCCTAAAGCTTATAGCTATGGCCATGCACATGGCTGCCGATCATATTGCGGAAACTTGACCGTCGATTACCCTTTTGCACTTCAACCGGGCTGCGGCCACCAGGGCTACCGAGATCTCTTATATTGCATCAATAATGTGCTAATGCTTCACATAAGCTCGGGATCATACCGCGTTTTGGACATTGATTATGCATACCGTTCCCTCACCTTAGACGAACCTCACATGTCGACGTGCACGACGATCATGCTCGATAAACGGGGCAACGGATTTGTAGTCGAGCGGTGGCGGGAGCCGTACTTGAGCCCCATGACGGACAATGTGTTCATGCTGCTGCATTGCAAGGCAGAATCACCACTCTTCCAAGGTTTCTCAGGAAAGCACTTGCCCTGCAGGAATGTTGCTGGGATGGGCTGTGATGACTATTATGGTTGTGCAGCATGGAGCCTAATTGGGCCGCAACGGGCGGGCTCGGTATATGGATCGGGCCCGCCCGAGTGCTGTGCTATTGCATACGAAGCAATCAAGGATGTAAATTTGACAAGGCTTGCTTGTCAAGGGTACAGCAGTGCTTATAATCTAGCACCCTTGAGATTGACTGGCCCTGATGAATGGTCTTATGGTATAAGGGTGAAGTATTCAGTTCAAGGAAATGAGACATTTTGTAAAGCTTGTGAGGCAACTGGTGGATCTTGTGGTTATGATGTCAATGATTTTAGTAGTTTGTGCATGTGTGGTAGCTGGAATTCTACTTCGAATTGCGATTCAGGTAAGTGACTGCATGAAATTTATAGGCGGATTTAGAATTTTAAGTCTGTTTAATTTGACGAAATATTGTTTCGATGTGCTTACAATGTTGAACTTGTTTGTGCAGTCCCCTCAGCTTCGCATAGAAGAACTTTGTCATTCATGGATGCACTAACTGGTATGGTTCCTTAATTAGTTGCATCTTAAATGTATTTTACAGAGTGGGTTGTCAATAAGAGCTTTTGAACGTTAATTGCAAACACATTAGTCTGTTCAACACTTAGAAAACCAAGAAATAAGAGAGTAAAAAATTTAGCTGAGCAGAAATTAAGCAACAGCCAGATCTGGAATTATGATTAACCAGAAAAAAAGAACATTGGAGTGGAGTAGTTCCATCCTTGATATCCGAAATAAATCTAGGTAACAATCCAATCAGATTTTCGAAAAACAATAAACCATAATATTGTAGTTAATTTTTTTTACTCCTTGGCTCATCCTATTTTTAATTAGCTAGTGGCAAATTCAATATATTGGCAGTGAGTGCAAGGGTACTTATTACTTTCAGCTAAAAGATCTATGCATATTATATTGTTATACTAAGCTCACAGTCATAATCACAGAAACAATAGGTGCAATTAGGAGTATTAATGGTTCGGTTCGGCCGGGTTATTTTATAAAATATGTACTATACAATTTTTTCGGTTATTTCATTTTATATAACTAAAATAAGATTTTTCGAAACCATTTCAATTATCTCAGTTTCTCTTCGGTATCGGTACGGTTCGATTAATTTTCGATATTTTTTTAAAAACGTCATGCAAGAGTTACTAGTCGAAGTTAGAACGCGCTAAATGTGTACTTGCATAGGACTTTGACAAAACTCTCTAGACATTTTTACTATTCTAAAAGTGATGATCAAATAAACATGAAAGAAGTTAATAGAGATTCATCTCATTATTCTATGGTAGCATAAAACAAATTAAGCAAAGACAAGAGAAATATAAATCATGTGAGTGGAAAGATACAAATCAAGTTGGGACTCAAGAATAGAGCTTATTAAAAGATTAGTGTCCATCATGAGAAATCTAAATCACACGGGAGGAAAGATATCAAATACCTTGTGGCTTGCTACCGAAGATCGCTAGAATACCTAGTGTCTTGCTACTCAAGATCGCTAGAATACCTAGTGCCTTGCTACTCAAGATGTTAGAACTAATTTAGTTTCGATATGAATAGCTAGTAGAATAGGTTTGGAAGTTGGGACTTTGTATATTACGTAGTTATTTGGTCATTTGTAGCCATTTCCATAAGCTCAAGACCCAAGCAAAAAAAACTTAATGCTTTGTTAGTCTTATACTTGGTATATAAAATATATTTTTCATATATAAATTTATTCGGTAAGGTTCGGTATTTTTTCGGTTTATTTTTATAAAATTAAAAACCTACCCTATTATTTGGTATGGTTATAAGTTTTTACATTTTATTAAAATAAACCTAATAATCGGTTCGGTACAATTCGATTCGATCAATTTAGTCGGATCCATTTACATACTAGTATATAGTTATACTAAGTTCACAGTCATAATCACAGAAATAATAGGTGCAGTAGTATAACTAATTCCCTTTGTCTCTATCATTTCGTTTTTAGTCCGTATAAAAAAGAATGACATATTTTTATATTTAATAACAATTTAACTCTAAACTTTTTATTTTAGCCTCATGAAATGATTTATAACCGTACAAATTTTTATGATCTATTTTAGATCATAAGTTTGAAAAGTTTTTATTTTTTTTTAAACTTTATGCCCAATCAAACACCATTATAAAAATAGTAACGGCCACTAGAGTATTAAGCAGCAAGCTGGGCATGTAAAATTTCTGATTATTTAAAATTTCTTGCTATCTCTTTGGCAATCCTGAATGTATTTGGGAACTAACAGCCCTGCAAACATGCAGGATTTTCGATCTGTGTAGTCATTTGGGATCAGCTCACCATCAAACTTGGATTATAGAAGCAGTTTGTTTCCAAAAATCCACACGGACCTTGATTTTGTCGAGTGCTGTGAAAAGTCAAAAACGGAATTTTCAAATTCAATTTTTCAGAAACTTGAAACAGACACCAAGGAAAATACAAAGCAATAACATCAACGCCTGGGGCACAGTTGGAAGATGCATGGTTGTGTTTATATTGTGTCACAGGTCCTTGGTTGGTATTAAATCCTAGTTTTGGATTGTGTGCACTATATACGGGTGAAACCGGACCCATAAGCAAACCCGATTACCGATAAAATAAATCAAATAAGGAACGCGATGACAAGGAACCGGAGCACAACGTCCACCCTTGAGTATATAGAGGCCATGACCTCGGGATCGGTCCAAATCTCAAAAGACTTTGGAGAGCATTATTGGGCAATCTAACACGATTAACGGGAGGACGTAATATCCGTGACCAACCGGGTATCATGGCGCGGATCTCGGCAAGTACCGACGGGAATCCAGTAATTAGTTAAATGGGATATTTTTGCATTTTATGGAATTGTACCTAGAGTGGGATTCCCCTACTATATAAAGGGGGGGTCTCATTATTCATTGAACACATTGAAACACGCATCCCAAAGCAATATACTATTATAATTCTTTAATTCATAGCTCTTACATTGTTGATCAGTGTTTCATTATTATAAGCCCGAGATCGAAGACGTATACCTCGTTGAGGCTGCCCTCGAGTCCAGAATCATCCCCCCTTTATTTTCAAGCGGTTTTATAATTTATTACATCTCTTGCCAGTTTATTCTAGTAATCCTTACCGTTTGTATTGAATAAATTCACGTATCGTTAAAACCACTTACAAATTTAATTGTTATCTATTTTTTAAGGTAAACAGTTTGGTGCCCACCGTGGGGCTAAGGATAATAGTGACAATTTGATACAAATTTCCATAACACATCCTATTTTACACTTGTTTTTTAAAGTGTCTTCAATTTCACGTCAAAGTTCAAAATGTTGAACTCCCAATCTGTACCTCTAAACGTGGATACTGAGTCTGGTCACCACTTCGAGAACAACAATATAGTACCCAGTAACGAGGTGCCCCTGTCGATCCCAGCGGAGTTCCGGTCGCAGACCCGATCAACGCTAACTCATATGTGGCCATCAATGCGAATCTGCCTACCGATCCTGAGAACAGCGTCCGCGGGGAGTCCGATCGACAACCCAAAATACACACGATGGTAAAGGAGATGAGATCAACTTGCGAGTGATCTTCGAAATGTTGCAAGCCCAACAGGAAGCAATAGCCCAACTGCAGAACCAAAGCCGTGCCCCCAGCAGAGTTGAGCCCGAGCCGTCCCGGGAAATCACTCGCAGAAACGAACCAATCACGGAGAGGCCGAGTGAAGCTGAACCAGGGACTAACTCCGAGATCATAAAAATGCTCTAGGAACTGACAAAACGGGTAGAAACGGGAGAAAAGTAAATCGAGGCAAATGACAAACAGGTGGAAACCTACAATTCCAAGGTCGGCCAAATCCTAGGAGCACCACCGATATTGAAGGGTCTGGATTTCAAGATGTTTGTTCAGAAACCTTTCCCTCCGAGCGCAGCTCCGAAGCCAATCTCAAAGAAGTTTCGCATGCCCGAAATTCCTAAGTACGACGGAACAACTGACCCAAATGAGCATGTGACCTCCAACACATGCGCCATCAAAGGGAACGACTTGGAGGATGATGAGATTGAGTCCGTCCTGCTAAAAAGGTTTGGAGAAACTTTGTCAAAGGGAGCTATGATATGGTATCACAACTTACCCCCTAATTCTATTGACTCGTTTTCTATGCTTCCAGACTCCTTCATGAAAGCACGCATTGGGGCCGTCAAGGTCGAGACCAGGAAGTCGGACATTTTCAAAGTGAAACAAAGAGATAATGAGATGCTCATGGAATTCGTGTCCCGGTTTCAAATGGAACGAATGGACTTGCCTCCGGTCATGGACGATTAGGCCATTCAGGCCTTCACCCAAGAACTCAATACTCGAAGCTCGTTGGCTTCACAGTAGTTGAAGCAAAATATGATAGAGTATCCGGTTGTAACTTGGGTCGACGTACATAACCGGTATCAATCAAAAATTAAGGTCGAACATAATCAGCTTGGGGTCCCTTCCGGGTCCGTTTATCCTGTCAGAGCTATTGACAGGTCCAAAAGAGACATTGATCGTGAACCACGATCGAATAGGGACCGGTATCAACCATACAATGGATACCGAAGAGGTAATGGGTCTAGGCAAAACCCTGTGAGAACTGAAAGGAGAAACTATCAAGGTCAAAATAACCGGGGACTCATGAGCAGATGCGGTTTCGACAGGCCCATCGGGCCTAAGGAAGCGCCGAAGTTATCGGAGTACAACTTCAACATCGATGCTGCTACCATTGTATCTGCCATTGGGTGCATCAAAGACACCAAGTGGCCTCGACATTTACAGTCTGATCCAGCCCAAAAGGACCCCAACCTAATGTGCAAATACCATGGAACCCACGGCCACAAAACTGAAGATTGCCGACAACTGAGACAAGAAGTAGCCCGGTTATTCAACAACGGACATCTCCGAGAGTTCCTGAGCTATCGAGCCAAAAACCATTTTAGGAATAGGGATTCTAATAAGCAGATCGAGCAAGAGGAACCTCAGCACGTCATTAACATGATCATCAGTGGGATCGATGTCCCCTAGGGGCCAATGTTAAAGCGCACCAAAATATCCATCATAAGAGAAAAACGGACTCGAGATTATGTGCCAGAAGGAACCTTATCTTTCAACGACGAGGACGCTGAAGGCATCGTGCAGCCACACAACAATGCACTGGTAATATCTGAACTCATAAAAAATCTCGAGTTAAACGTGTGTTAATTGATCCAGGTAGCTCGGCCAATATCATCAGATCGAGAGTCATAGAGAAGTTGGGTCTACAAGACCAAATTGTGCATGCAATCCGAGTTCTAAACGGATTCAACATGGAATGTAAGACCACTAAATGGGAGATAACACTACCGGTGAACACCGCCGGAACCATCCAGGAAGCAAAGTTCTACATGATCGAAGGAGATATGAGATATAATGCTATGTTCGGGAGGCCGTGGATTCACAACATGAAGGCAGTGCCCTCGACACTGCACCAGGTGTTGAAATTCCCAACGCCACGAGGGATTAAAATAATTTACGGAGAACAACCGGCCACAAAGGATATGTTCGGGGTCTACGAAGTGGTCCCGATATCCGCACTTTCAACACCAAAGTGTTCGAGTTTGGTCACCAAGGAAGAGGCCAAATAGAAACCACCAACACTGCCCCCAACCGAACTAGAAAGACAGGGGACGGGTGAGGATGACGACTAGGGAGTTCCCAGGTCTTTCATAGCCCCGACGATTCCAACGCCACCAAAGGAACTGGAGCAAGTCATATTGATCGAGTACTTACCCGATCACAAGGTACACCTAGGCATGGGGTTAAGCTTCGAGCTCAGGAAAAAACTCATTAAGTTCCTTATAGCTAATATAGATTGTTTCGCTTGGTCCCGCCTTAACATGACAAGAATCCCGCCAAAAATAACTACTCACAAGCTGAGACTGGATCTGAAGTTCCACCCGGTCAATTAGAAAAGGAGTCCTCAGTCTGAAGTCAAGCATGCATTCATCAAAGACGAGGTATTGAAACTCCTTAAAATAGGATTCATTCGAGAGGTTAAGTACCTGGATTGGTTAACAAACGTAGTGGTAGTCCCTAAAAAGGGGAATAAATTAAGAATGTGTGTAGACCACAAAAACTTGAGTAAGGCATGCCCCAAGGACTCTTTCCCTTTGTCCAACATCGATCGCATGATTGATGCCACGGTCGTCCACAATATCCTCAGTTTTCTTGATGCCTATTCCGGGTACAACCAAATTCGGATGGACCCGGACGACCAGGCAAAAACATCCTTCATCACTAAGTACGGAACCTACTGTTATAACGTAATGCCATTCGGGCTAAAAAAATGCCGGTGCCAATTACCAATGCCTAGTAAATCGAATGTTTGAATAGCAAAATCAATGGAGGTTTATATTGACGATATGTTAGTTAAGTCCCTGCGAGCAGAGGACCATTTGAAACATTTGCAGGAAACCTTCAACATATGAAGAAATACAATATGATCTAAACCCGGAGAAATGCGCATTCGGAGTCGGGTCCGGAAAATTTCTCGGATTCATGGTGTCTAATTGGGGAATCGAGATCAATCCCGATAAAATCAAGGCCATAGAGAACATTACCGTGGTGGACAATGTCAAGGTCATTCAAAGGATAATGGGTGCATAGCCACGTTGGGCCGATTCATTTCAAGTCCTCCGACAAGAGCCATCGGTTCTTCTCGTTATAAAAGAAGAAGAATATTTTCTCATGGACACTGGAGTGTCATCAAGCCTTAGAAGAACTCAAGTGGTACCTTCCGAGCCCGCCTTTTCTTCATACTCCAAAGGCAGATGAACAACTGTACCTAAATTTAGCAGTATCCGAGATAGCGGTAAGTGGAGTCTTAGTTCGAGAAGAGGAAGGTATGCAATTTCCTATCTACTATGTTAGCAGGACTCTAGGCGAGGCCAAAACTAGGTATCCTCACCTGGAAAATTTGGCGCTCGCTTTGCTAAGCGCCTCCAGGAAGTTAAAACCATATTTTCAATGCCATCCCATATGTGTCGTGAATACTTACCTGTTGAGGGGCATAATGTATAAGTTCGAGCTCTCGGGACGATCTGCCAAATGGGCCATGGAAATCAGCGGGTACGATATCGAATATTGACCCCGAACCTCCATCAAATCTCAAATTTTAGTGGACTTCGTAGCTGACTTCACTTCGGCGCTAATACCTGAGGTCGAGAAGGAGCTGTTGTTGAACTCAAGGACCTCCTCCGGAATCTAGACCCTCTTTACGGATGGTGCCTCGAACGCAAAAGGGTCCGGACTTGGCATTGTATTGAAGCCACCAACGGATAATGTAGGTAATCTATTTGAACTGTAAAATTGACTAACAACGAGGCCGAGTATAAGGCCATGATTACAGGTATCGAGCTGGCTAAAAAGCCCGGGGGCCGAGGTGATTGAAGCTAAGTATGATTCCCTCATTGTGGTGAACCAAGTCAATGGAACATTCGATGTCAAAGAGGAATGAATGCGAAGGTACCTGGATAAACTACAGGTGATGTTACATCGGTTCAAGGAATAGACTTTTCAACATGTACCTCGAGATCAAAACAGCGAAGTTGGTGCTCTTGCCAACTAAGGATCATCGATTGATGATGATGAATTCAACTCGGGAACGGTCGTACAACTCATGAAATCGGTAGTGGAAGAAGGCCACGTCGAGATAAACTCGACAAGCTTAACCTGGGATTGGAGAAATAAGTATATAGATTTCCTGAAGACCAGAAAACTGCCCTCGGATCCTAAAGAATCAAGAGCTCTGCGCACAAAGGCGGCCAGGTTCAGCTTGTCTGAAGACAACACCCTATTCAGGAGAACGTTCGATGGCCCACTCGCCATATGTATGTGATCGAGAGATACCGAGTATGTTTTGAGGGAAGTTCATAAA